CCCTCAGATCTGGGTGGGGTGGGTGGGATACCACTGCGGACTGAGGTTAGGGCTGGGCCAGGCCATTTCCCGAAGGGCCTGGGCTACACTGCACTTGGGGTGGGCGGTGGCAGCCACCTAAAAATTCCCCATATTCCACCCCCATAACCTCCCCTCCCAGCACTGCCACTGTCAGCCCTCAGTGTAGCCCAGCCCAGCCTACACTGGGAAGAGCCCAGCACAGCCCCAGCCCACAGTGGCATCCTTGCTTCCCCATTCAGATGATGTCAATTGTAATTTTAAATCATTGCTTTCTCATTAATTTGATTTATATTTTTTTTGGGCTAGGAAAGAGTATAAAAAGGGAAATATTTGTGTTTCTTCCAAGTCTAAAGTATGTTTCTGTTACTATAATTTCTGTTAATAAATACTACATTTTTTTTTTTTTTGTACTCTCCTGCTTCATATTTCCAAGGGGTGGGGGAAAAAAAAAACACTAAGTATGGCATAAAGTGTTTTATTTAAAGCCTGGCTAACACTTTATTTGTAGTTGGTTCAGAAATTTTAAGAATCATGGATATATACCAGATTGTTAGGCTTAGCTGTTTATAATAATTCACAACCATTTAAAATCTGAACATTTCTCTGTAGAGTTGAGTATGAAGACAGTTTTGCTCCCCTTTAAAAAAATCTAACCTTTTAAATTCTCATAAATAATGCAATACCATTAATGCAATGCCATTCTAATACCAGTCAAAGTAGCTAAAAAATGGAATTGGGACCACAGTAAGAATTAATACATATTTTATGTCTACCAGAATGTGGCACATTCTTTGTGTTTCGCTATGAATAATGTTGTAATGCCAATTTTAATTTAATTTTATTTTTTGCATAGCACATGCTGATCTGGAAACTATATTTCCAGAAAGACTGCTTACTTTCCTTCATCAAGATGAACATGAGCCTGCAATGCGATGCGGCGGCTAGTAAAGCGACCAAAACGCTGGCTTGCATCCATAGATGCTTCTCAAGCAAATCCCGGGACGTCATTCTCCCCCTGTACTCGGCCTTAGTGAGGCCGCAGCTGGAGTACGGTGTCCAGTTTTGGGCTCCACAATTCAAAAAGGATGTGGAGAAGCTTGAGAGAGTCCAGAGAAGAGCCACGCGCATGATCAGAGGTCAGGGAAGCAGACCCTACGGTGACAGGCTGAGAGCCCTGGGGCTCTTTAGCCTGAAAAAGCGCAGGCTCAGGGGTGATCTGATGGCCACCTACAAGTTTATCAGGGGTGACCACCAGTATCTGGGGGAACTTTTGTTCACCAGAGCGCCCCAAGGGATGACGAGGTCAAATGGTCACAAACTACTTCAAGACCGTTTCAGGCTGGACATAAGGAAGAATTTCTTTACTGTCCGAGCCCCCAAGGTCTGGAACAGCCTGCCACCGGAGGTGGTTCAAGCGCCTTCATTGAACACCTTCAAGATGAAACTGGATGCTTATCTTGCTGGGATCCTATGACCCCAGCTGACTTCCTGCCCTTGGGCAGGTGGCTGGACTCGATGATCTTCCGAGGTCCCTTCCAGCCCTAATGTCTAATGTCTATGAAATAAAACTTTATGTATAAAAGACTCTTATGAACCTCGGCAGATAGGAGCATGTCTTAAATTGGCAACTTTGACAGGTGATTTTTTTTAGTTCTTGTTTAAGAACTATGTGAACCTTTGGCTTTTTAGTTGAAGAGCTATGTGCATAATGTTTTATGTGCATTCCAGATACTTTCGTGTAGTTTTATAACTTTGTAAATCTTTTATCCTTTCTGGTTTATTTGTAGTTCTTAGTCATGTAACCTTTAATCGTCTTTTGTGTAAAGGAACAGCTTAACCTCTTTTAATGTTTCCTCATTTTGGAGCTTGCTGAGAGATATTTTTAATGGCATTTCTCTTTTCCTTTCTTCCCCTAAAATTGTTTGGTTGTAAATAAATGGAAAGGGTAGTCTGGTGTTTTGAAATGACTTCAGGATAGAAATAGGTCAGATGCCAAAGTATTGCATGGGTTTAGTGTACTCAAGTTACTTGTATTTTCCTTTTTTCAACATTTTTATATGCAAGCATACATATAACCTAAATAAGATTCTTGCTAGGGTACATTAAAAACACAACCAAAATATGGGCCCATTGAGAAGGAACTCCCCCTGTCCACAAAAAAAACAAACAAAAAACCCAAACCAAAACAAACAAACAAAAAAACCCCAACCCATATGTTCTGGCTGCAAACACTAGTGATATTTTTTACCTGGATTCTTATCCTGCTGTCATAGAAATACCCAGATGCAGGTCCACAAAGGAACTGAGGTACCTCAGTCCAAGAGTGCAATTATCAAACCTAGTGTCTATCCCTGTAGGCACTTAGAGTCCATAGGCACTTAAGTTTTCAGCCCAGGCACTTATAGTTCTGTTTCTGGACATGGGCAAATGGGTATCTATCTCATGCCTAAGATCACTGCGGGAACCACAGATTAGATGTTCCCCTACCTGTCCCCTGAGGGTCCTGATCCAATACATGTGCTCAGAGCTTGCCTAATACATTCCTACAGCATCAAGCTCTGCACAAAACAATGACAGCAGCTGCTTTCAAAACATAGGAGGTGGTTTTGATGCCCCACCGCCTATTATCTAATAGCCAAATGGGAAGCCCAGTGTGGGAGATCCCCAGTCAGTTTCTTTTTCTGCCTGAGGAGTTTGCACCCAAAACTCCCATCTCACAGAAGAATACCAGAAGCTATTTGGGCTATTTTAGGGTAGGGCCACTCTAGGAATCCTGTTGTTCCACTCTGCAGGAAAGAAGTGACATTTCATGTGAAAGAGTGCGTGCAAACAATAACAAGGCTCTGCAGTCCAGTGATTAGTGTAGTCACCTGTATTCCTGTCTTTGCTCCAAGGGCTATTTACGTATTTTATCCAGTGGCTGTGTAATATAAACAGTCCTTGGGTTAGGGACTGAATCCTCCTGCTTTCTACAGATTCATGCTCAGTCTTTCTTGCTTGGGCCCAGTGAACCAGCTTCAGCAGCGAGTCTCCCTTGTCCTTTCTGCTCAGCCTGTACCTGGGAGCTGAGAAGTTGGATTTGAAACCCCAAATTTAGGCAGAGGATAGTACTGAGCCTGGGTCTTCCACAACCTGAGTTGCAGAACCTGTACTCTAACCACTGTGGTATTGGATAAGAAAGCTTACCGCTTCTTTTTGGGGAAAGAAAAAAGGACTGATTCCTTCTGCAGTTTTGGAAAAAGTCGAGCTGGGAACTTTGGATCCTGTGAAGTAAGTGCCTCCTTACAGCCCCCAACTAGCTGCCTAAATCCTGTAGAGAGACAGGATTTAAGACACCCTCTTCAGCATTTCTTTTTACTTTGTTTAAGCAGCTTCTCACTTGGGGTGCTGTCTGTTTTGGATCCCATTAGTAGGGGCCTAATTCTCCCTGTTCACTGTATGAAGAGTGTATGTGCTTAACTAACAGATGTGGATTCTGCTTTCCTGACCAGGAGCTTAAAAGAACTAGGATCAGGAGCTCAGCTTTGTAGATACAGCCTGAGCTGAGATTCAGATTTCTTATAATACAGTTTCAATGGCAGTTTTTGATGTTCTCAATCTAGTGATAGATTTTGATAGGGAATTTCTTCTAATATTCAGCTTACTCATCAGGGTATGGGGAACTTTTGGCAACATGACTGTCAGAACCGTGCCTTCCAGGGACCAGATAGCCAAAGCCACAGTTTTTTCCAGATGAAAGCTCAGTTCTCAATCCCCTACACAAACTACTCCTTTGTAATTGAAGTCATTTATCATTCTTGGACAAATTCTCTTAGCGCATGTTTATATATCCAGAAAATTTTGAATAGAATGTGTGGGTTTTTATATCTAAAAAGAATTTTAAAAGGTTTCATAGTACTTTCCTCTGTTTTGTCCTAATAATCTACATTTTGGAGATATATTTAACTAGCCAGTTGTTTGACATAAAATTTTCAAGTGGCGCATGTCTTAGGGATGTAAATCCCATGGAAAGTCAATGAGATTTAGACTCCTGTTTGGAGCACTGTGATATGTACAGAAAATATTTTATACTGTATCCTTTTTGTTTATATCTTCTGTATATTTTATGTACAAAACTTATCTTTACTTGCACAACTAATAACTCCTTATATTATTACAAATGAAAATAATCTGATTTAATTTACTTTCATCATTATAAGTGCCCATTCTGTTATCAGTTACCGAGGATGTTGTGTTTGTGAGACTGAGAGAGCAACTGGGGTTCTAATGTTTACTTTTACTCAGCTTGCACATTTGTACTATTTAAAACATATAAAAGAATGCAGAAATTAAGATGAAGTGGTGATATTCTAGAAATCTTCAGGAAATGTTTCTTCCTCTGATTAATGTTTTTAAACCTGTCTTTCTGCCCATTTTTTCTTTATTTTTAACAATAATAAAACTTACTGTAAATTTAGGGACTAAATCATTTGACAATTTTTTTCAAATAATATGTTTTTTCTGCCACCTGCTTCAGTTAGGATGGTCTTTTTAGGGTGTCATGAGGAAAATTGCAAGGGCTTCCCTTGCTAGGACCATGAATCTGTGTGAGTCCTTCTAGAGAGCCAAAAACCTCTCATTTGATAGGTCAGCTAGTCAAGGAGTTTTAAAAGGGGCCAGTCCAGAGTAATGGAATCATTCTGTTTTTGCTGTTAGGCACTTTCCTGTATATACTTAGTTCTTTTTCTAATGGTTTATTTTCTCTCTTTCAGGCTAAAGATGCTTCATCTTTATGGTTGCTGTTTCAGCCGTGATTGGGAATCCATTAAAGAAATCAGTAAAACAATAAAAGTGTTTCATGATCTCTCTGCTCCAGCAATTAACATTTTAGTTGAATGAGGAACTACGCCTATCACTATGGACATTTCTGGCTTGTAAATATGACACTGCTGCAGCAAAGGGATGCTGTGTCAGTTTGTCTTCTGCATTTTATGCTGTATAATCCAAAAGCTGACTCCTTTTGCTTTCTTTTATGAGTCACTTCATTTTTTTATCTCAGACACTGCAGGACACTTCTGATAACACAGTAATAATGCTTGTTTCCCTTGTAGGGATACTATGAGGTGTAATTCTTGCAATTCATCTTGTAGTTAAAAAGAATGGAGATACAATCCACATGGCAAATATTACTAAATGTGTTCTCTTTTAACTTTTAATTGAAAAGAATAAATCGTCAAATTCTGTAGTAATGTAAGTGGTGGTAAAAGGTAGAAAGCAGATGGAACTTGGTCAGAAAATGGTTTTAATTGTCAAAGGAATACAATTCACATTGATCTAGAAACTAGTGACTACGTGTTGGTGTTCTCTAAGGACTGATTTCTATACTTGTGTAAGAAGCTGCAAATCCTGTTAAAGCTGCCTAAAATGGGGATGGGGCAGGAGATTAAGCTCACAAAGCAGGAGCAATAGCAGCCTGAAGAACACCGTATGCTACTATACACTGCTAACCACATCTCAGCACCTACATCTGCCCTACTCAGGCTTTCATTACTCCCTTTTACTTAACACATGACTTGCAGCATGTAAAACTTCCACTACTAATAGTAATTGAAGGCGATAGTTTGGCAAGGGGCTAGATGAATTGAGGAAGAATTTGGCAGCAACAATGACGTCTGTTCTGTGATACTGTGTCTGCATTTGTGGGTGGAAGAATACTATGGATAACTACTCTGGCTAGCTGCTAGCTGAAGAATGAAACCAAGTCAGTGGTCTGGGCACCAGGGCCTGAGACAATCGGCCACTTTGGCATACCTTACTCAAAACCTTGGAGTTGTATTTGTAGGACTGCGAATATTCACGGCTGCAACTGAAACTAATGGGACTGGTGGTGTTATGAGGTGCTTACAAACTTTGAAAAATTCCATTGTAAGGAATTATCTTATACACTGGCCACAGTTCTGGTGGAGTGTATGGGAGTGAGCATACAAAACCCACTTTAGTCTGCAGATGTACTCCTGAGAAGGAGGTTCTGTGTGGCTGCTCTGAAGTCTTCCCTAGCATCCACACACAGACCTCCTGAAGATCAAGACCTTTAGAGCTGGGAGATGGAAATAAGCATAGAGAAGACGCATGGACACACTTCTGGCCCTGAAGTGTGCCAGCAGACTTGGGTGATTCAGTCACTGTGAAATATTCAGAGAACATATTGATAACCGCTACAAGAAAACTAAATATTCTGAGAGTTGGGATTGAATGGTGTGCAGGATATTATGAATAATGCTTGCGTGTGCATACTGAATGATAAGATAACAAAATACTGAATAGCTGCTTATTATGTGAGTATGGTTCACCCTGTGCACTGAATGGGGAAATTTTATTTCTGGCACTTCTTAACTGTTAAGCAATTGGCTTTGGAAGCTTAACAAGAGTCTATTACTGTAGTTACTCAAATCCAAGATGAGTTTTTATTTTCCCCATTCAGATTGGGGAAAAAAAATTCCCTCATCTTAGAATTGTATACAAAGTGCCAGGGGTAGGTGGGGGTGGAGGGTATGGGCAGGTGGCTGCTGCAGCTATGACTCTGGCCCCAAGCCCCCCCCCCCCCCCCCCCCCCCCCCACAATCCTATCTGCCCTCTGCAGCTTCTGCCCCTCCTGGATGCCCCGCAGTCTCTGGCCTCTTCCCTCCACCTTACTGTCAGGCATGCCTGCAGCTCCAGATGAATTCCCTTCTAGGACACAGAGCACATGGAGACTCCATTCCCTGTCTGGCCAATCATTAGCAGCACAGCTCCAGCCCCGGGACAGTACTGCCTGGCTGGGCAGGGGATGTGCTTCCATGTGCTTCATCACCTGGGAGGGAATGGAGCTGGAGTTGCATCTGATAGTAAGTGGGGGGAGGGGGCAATGGCTGTGGGATGGAGGATGAAGAAGGGGGCAGAGGCTGTGTGGGGCAGGGGTAGCAGGGATAGAGGCTGTGTGGGGAGCAAGAAAAGGGCAGGAGCTGAGGGGGGGGGGGGTAAGCTGCCGGGGAAGAACTGGGG